CACATCCGAGAAGGCCACCTCCTCATCCTCCTTGTGCTCGCCTGTTCTTTACTCTCTTCGTTCCAGCGCTCGTTTCTGGATGGACTGGTGGGGATACACCAAGCGCGGGGAAGAAGGAGGAGGAAGAGGAGGAGGAGGACAGGGAGGAGGCGACATCTCACTGCCAGGAGTGAGTGGGAGGAGGAGGAAGAGGAGGAGGAGGAGGAGGAGTAGAAGGAAAAGGAACATGAGGCGGAGGACGAGGAGGAGAAGGAGGAGCCATTTCAAGCTTAATCAGTCATGCGAGATTCCCCACGCCCGAAGTTCTGTGAACTGCTCTTTTATCAGCGCTGGGAGGATCATTTGAGTAGAGGGGTCACCATGCAGCTATTCCTTCAGCCTTGCTGCCTAGCTGCCCTGTATTCCTACCTAGGTAAGAGGGTACCGAGCCTGTACCACCTTACGGGCAACATCGTGCATAGTGCACGCGTATGTCGTTCCCCCCTTGTTCGGTTTCGCTCAATGACTATCGGCTCGCTCGAATCGGCCGTTCGACTTCACCCTCTCCACCCTGGAGGTCGGCACTGCTACTCTGCGCCCTTTCTGGGCACTCCGCCCTTCCTATACTTGTTGCCTGTCCTGCAACGCACGGGCCGGCCGCCTAATTCTTATACGCCCGAAGTGTGTACGGAAAATATTGGCACAATGCCCGACAACAACTGTTGTCCAGAACCAACACCAGCCGCTGTTGGGCAAGCGGCCCTCTGTCTCCAAAGAATCACGTCCGCGGCGGCGCGAACAGCGAGTCTTGTTCAAAATGAACAGGAACTGCTGTTGGGCATCGTACCCATTCTTTCCGTACCAATTTCGATCCTCCCGATAAGTCGCCGTCAAGTTGCTCGCCGCCGTGCCCGAGTCGGCTGTTGCTGCACCACTGGAGCGCAGCCGCCATGACGCTCAAGCTCGCCCAACGCGAGAAGGACAACCATCCACCCGCACCAGAGGGGGGAGGAGCCCAGACCTCCTCGCACCGCGAGGGGACGTCCCGATGGGAGGGGGGAGACGGGTCGGGAAGAGTGGGCATGGGAAGCCGGTCCTCGGGAAGGGATCGAGGACCTCCCAGGATCCGCGGCTGTGGAGAAGACATGGCTGCGGCGGTCTGGGGGGAGGGAGGGGGAGGGAGGGGGGGGAGAACAAGGGGGAGGAGAAGGGAGGAAGGGGAAGAAGGAGGGAGGAGCGCCGCGGAGCGCCGACGAGCTAGGCCACAGAGGACGTCCGCCTGGGCGGCGAAAGGAAAGAGGGGGGGACTTTGTTGTTTGTCACTGTTGGCCAAGTGTGCTCATTCAGCGGCACGTTGCAGAAGCAATCAGGGCGCGTGTCGGCGCGCGTCCCCGGACAAGAGTTCGGTCGGGCGTGTCCTACAGGCGGATCTTGGACGAATAATGAAAAAGAAGAAACCAGAGTTGCAAACCAAAAGTCGAACAATCGTCCCCAGACTACTGCTTGACTGTTTTTGAATACTCCTCCATTGGAGGGACACGCCCGGCTTAAGTCAAGAGGTGCCTTACCAAAATGGGTATATGCTCAATCCGAGGGGCCTGGCACAAGATGTGCGCAAGCTGCTGGCAAGCGAGGACCCTGCGGCCGAGAGGGCACGGCAGCACACGCCGCGCGGGGGAGGAGGGCACTCTCGAAAGGCGCGGGCGCCGTGCGGGGGCCGTTTCTCTCCGCTTTTCGTGGGAGCCAGGAAAAGGCAAATCGGCACCACCGCCGCCAGCGCGAGGAGCCAGATCGTGTCTTCCTGGTGGTGTGGTCCCCCCTCCCCTCCGCCCCTCCCCTGTCCCCGCTAGGGAAATCCTCCATCCCCAGCTCGGGCAAGCATCGTGGACCTCCTCGTGGTGGTGGTGGTGGTGGTGGTGGTGGTGGTGGTGGTGGTGGTGGTGGTGGTGGTGGTGGTGGTGGTGGTGGGGTGGTGGTGGTGGTGGTGGTGGTGGTGGTGGTGGTGGTGGTGGTGGTGGTAGGGGTGGTGGTGGTGGTGGTGGTGGTGGTGGTGGTGGTGGTGGTGGTGGTGGTGGTGGTGGTGGTGGTGTCGCTGTTCTTTCCTCCGATAAAGGTCCAAACGCATCCCAGCCCAATCCCCATGAATGGAAAAACAAAAACGACATAAGCATGAACTGAACTGTTGGAGGTCCGCGCGGATTTCTTGGATCTGCGCTGGACCCCCCTCCCTGGCGTGCGAAGCGCACCAGGGGCGGCGCTGGAAGCGCCGCCGGGGGGCCCAGCGCGGCTCCAAGAACTCCGCGCGGAGCGGCAAAAATTTGGGTCAGGCATTTCCGCCTACAGGCGGATTCGGAGTGAAAACTTAAAAAGTTGTCCCCTAACCCCGCGAGCCCCTTCGCCGCAGGCTTGGGGCCCCAGTGAGATAACCTCTGCGGAGAACAGTTCAAGGTCTGCTAGGGCTGCTCTTCACCCTCGTGCCAACTGTAGGGTAAATGAGCCCTTCCCCTCCCATGATCTGGGCCTCGAGGAGCAGGTGGAGCTCACCCGCGACGGCGAGATGAACGCGGTGCTGCGCTTCGACAGCGCGTCGGCCTGTCGGGGGCGGAGGCGGAGGGGAGGCAGGGACCGGGCGATACAGGGAGGTCTGGCGGTGCGAACGCAAGGGTGACGCGAGGGAGGGACAAGGCGGAGGGCTTCTTCAATGGCATGGGCCTTCTTGGCCCCTCAGCTGGCCTCATAGATGCCAGGATGGCTTCTAAGAAGGCCGCTGCTTTTCAAAAAACATCCCGCACCACTCTTGGAATACCTCCCCATCTCGGCACCCAATTGTGCGCGCCGCCAGGAGGGAAACGGCCAAGGCCATATCAATATGCATCGAAACTGGAAAGTCGCGTTGAGGATCGGGCTTCATCAGCACGGACTCGAAATCGAGTAACAGCGCCATCACTGGGCCGCATAGGATCGTGGGAATATCTTAAACGAATCGGATCGGGCCATCCGAAATCAATGTCGAACCCGATCGATCGGATCGAAATGGACCATACGGGGAGGGAAGGATACAGGGCCAAAACGCTGCATAAAGACGCACTGCCAGTTGAGGTCCGCGCGGATTCCCTGGATCGGCGCTGACCCCCCTCACTACACCCCGAGCGGCGTCTCCACCGCCGTCCCTGGCGCGCTCCGCGCGCTGGGGAAGTGGCGTGTGAATGGGGTCCAGTGCCGGCTCAGGAGACCCGCGCAGACCTCCGAAAGCACACGTGAACGCCTCTGGTGCTGCTCCTTTCTGGGCAGGGAAGAGACGGAGGGGTGGCAACAGAGGGTGAGCAGCAGCAGCCCTGGGGCGCCCAGGGGCCACACGTCACATGGGCTACCCTTAGGTCGGGCTACCCTGTAGAGGGACATGCCCGGCCGAAGGCTACCCGGGGGACCCTCGCCAGTCTGGGATTTAAGATGAATGCGCGACCGTAGCAGAGTCGCACCCATATAGATCGGGGATCTGGCGGGTCTCAAAATTCCCGGAGATCCAATGTATTGTTTTTTCAGTACGGGGTCCCCGGACGTCTCGACTCACACCAGGGGACGGGCTTTTCAACCTGAGTTGTTCTTTGACGGTCCAGGGGCCAGACGACGGCCTCTGTAGAGGCCAAAAACTCAGAGAACAAACAAAACGCCCTCAGGGATTTATTCAATACGTTGGCTCTCATGTTTCCTCGGGCGCCGAGGCCGTTCCACAGCGTTCCGGAACGCCCTAGAACGACTTACCTAGAGGCCTCCTAGATGGGGTCGAAGTAGATGGGGTCGGAGGATCGCGCCGCATCGCCAATACATCGGCGATGCATCAGCGATGCATCGGCGATGCGCCGGCGACGCATCGTCGACGTGGGCAATGCATCGGCAACGTCGTTGGACGGAAATCAAACTCCGCATCGAGATGCATCGCCGATGCATCGGCGATGCGGCGCGATTCTCCGACCCCATCTACCGGGACCCCATCTAGGAAGCCCAGGTTTTGAGAAGGGACCGACCGTCCCAGCATTCCTATAGTCCTACCACGAAATGGTCTTAGAACCTAAAAATGTTCTAAGAACAAAAACCACGTTCTGAGAGCATGAACCCGATGTGTTAAAACAAGACAGTCCCAGCCAGAAATGTTCTAAGCTCATTTCGTGGAAACCACAAAAGGCTCTTGGAACACTGTTTGGTAGGACTATAGGCGAGCCAGGACGCTTCGCCACTGCTTGAGTGAAGGCAATCAGGCTCCGCATCGAGCTGCATCGCCGATGCATCGGCGATGCGGCGCGATCCTCCGACCCCATCTACCGGGACTCCATCCATGTATGCAAGGGCCCTGGGACACACAAATAGATACACACCAATAAGATGATTCCCCAAATTTTCCCATACTTTCTCGGTTTTTGTCTTCTCCCCACTTCCCATATGTTTCCATATTTTCCTGGGAATCGACGAGTCATTGTGCCTGTGTGTCTTTTCCCCCCCCGACTCTAGGAAGACTATAATAGGTTACCCCGGTCCGAGCCCCGCCCGAGGACGGCATGGTACCCGGGGAGGGGGGGGGGGCCTCTCGGGGCACGGGCCGGGGTCGCCGCAGGGCCGAGGGAACAGCGCGCGGTGCTGGAGGGGATTCTTCTTCGGTCGCGGCCGCGAGCGAAGAGCGCACGCGGCGACAGAAGTTGTCCGGGGCTACGAACAAACCTAACTAGCTGCAGGGCGCAACTCAGGCCGGCCGGGCCAGCTCACAAGAAGGCGGCCGCTGGGGCAGCGAGGCGAGGGCTGAGACTGGCCGACGGGCACCCATGGCACTGGTGGGGATCCGAGAAGCGTCAACAACGGAACGAGGGAGCGCTGCTTAGTACACGCACGGGGCCGTCTCGCAAACGCCGATTAGGGGGGTCGGGGTGGATTTGTCCTCGCGGATCTCGGGGCACAGGCCGGGGTCGCCGCAGGGCCGGGGGAAAGGCGCGCGAGTTGCTCCCGGGGCCGGCCCGGGCTCCCAGAGGTCC